TCGTTCATGCACGATCCCTAGCTAGTTAAGCAATCATCTCGCACTCCGACTTGGTCCCGAAATATAATTCGTAATCTGGTGTTTTGCTTCGCCTTTGGTCTACGCGGAATGAATGCTATAGAAGTTGTGGGTATTAGATCTTGTGTTAGTATACTTCATACTATCCGTGAACGTCAACACCCTTAGCCTCTAAACTGGTGAGCCCTACCGCAAACTTCATCTGTGGTAGGAGGGCAGACATGTCCAGTGAGTTAGTTCCATTCTGCATTTATTCTTGTGCTACTTTTAAACTATACATATTTCGTTATGAATGATCATACTCTTTAGGTTATCCATATTCGATCAACCACCAAAACTATTTAGCTGATGCCATTTTGGCCAGATAATGTGGAATCATGGTTTCAGATAGGCGAGTCTGATTTCAGTGAACATGGGTTGACTGACCAACGTTCACAGTTCCTTGCAGTTGCGCATTCTCTGCCGCGGGAATTAAGCAAATGCGTAACTGTGCATATGTCGAGCCTAGAGGTGAGTAACCTGAATGATTTGCCTAAAGTAACCCTCTTAAAGAGAAACAACCTCACGGATCGACAACATCTTGACGAACTATTTCGTAACGTGGAGTTGGGTGATCAGTCGGCTGTGAACGTGCTAACGAGAATGAGAGAAGTTATCGGTCAGCGTCAGTTCGATTAGGGACTCTTCAGACAGCTATTCTTGTCCAAACTGCCACAGTCAGTACAGGCTGTGCTGGTGAAACTTCAAGGTGTTACTATAGATGACATAGCTACCTCTGCCGATTAAATTCTAGAAATAGCAGAACGGCAACTCACTGAAATATGCTCAATGGCTGAACAGACTTAGGGTAGGGACACTGCGGTGAGAGAGTTATGCAACTCCGTCCAGCAGTTACTTAGGTGAAATAATCCACGTAATTCCCCCCTCAGCGGAGAAACTCACGCAATTGGTCTAAATCCAGGCCGTGTTCACTTAAAAACCCTGGCTGTGGAGAAATGCTGCAGAAAACCTTGTTCTTTTGAATATGTCTCGAAGACTATGAGAAACTATCCCGCCTGCGCGCGTTAGCGGTAACTGTCGCCGGTGGCGCTAGCCGCCTACTTTACATTCGTGATGTGGTCAGCCAGACCCGATACTTAGTCGACACAGGCGCCGAAGTCAGCGTCCTTCCTGATGCAGCAGAGATCGACAGAAGGAACCTACCTCCAACTTACGGTCTGCGAATGGAAAACCAATTGCATCCTTTGGTAGGAAATACGTCTATCTGAACGTAGGCTTATGCAAACTTATTCAGTGGATTTTCCTTATCGCTGACGTCAGGGTGCCCATCATTGGCACGGACCTACTTAACCATCATTATTTACTCGTGAATGTCCACTGAAAACGACTGATTGGCAGTACTGCTAGACTGTCTATTGAAGGCATCACTTACGTAGACCATAGCTTGCCACTCGTTAAGGAGAAATCGATCTTTGATCCAATTTTTCAACCGATTGTTGGTAAGTACCCGGAGCTCAATCGCCCGTCTAACGATCTACCGTGCATAACCAGCAATGTTATGCATCACATTACAACTTCAGGACAACACGTTATATCCGAAACACGACGACTTGCTCCTGACAAACTACGACTCGCTAGAAATGAATTCGACCATATGCTCACACTTTGATTCACTCGGCCATCTAATAGACCATGAGCATCCCCACTTCATAAGGTACCAAAAAAAGATAGCAACGATTGGCAACCCACTGGTGATTACCGGCAAGTGAAGGCCAAAACAACCCCCGGTTGCTATCCATTGCCTTACATAGACGACTTGACGGCAACATTATCTGGCGCAGCTATATTCTCTAAAATCGACTTGGTTAAAGCGTGTAATCAAATCCCGATGGCATGAGAAGATATTCCAAAAACGGCTATCATTACGCCTTTCGAACTTTTTGAATTTCTACGTATGCCATTCGGTCTCCGGAATTCAGAACAAACATTCCAACGCTTCATTGATGAAGTATTTCGCAATCTCAACTTTGTATACGCATACTTAGACAATTGCCTCATTGAGAGTCCAGACAAGGGGACTCGCCTTAGACACTTGGACTTGGAATTCAAAAGGGGACACCTACATGGTGTTACCATTAATATTCAAGTGTCAGATAGGCGTTGACTCACTCGCCTTTCCTGGCCACACCACTGACTTCAAGAGTATTCACCCATTGGCTAGTAAAGTTGAGGCGATACTGAACTTTCCAGAGCCACAGACAGTGAAACATCTTCACACTTTTAGCGGCTTGGTAAGTTATTACTGACGCTTCATTCCTAACTATGCCTCCCCGATTTAGCCATTAACAGACCTTATTTGAGGGAATAACAAGTCCATCGAACTCGATGCGTCTGTTCAAAATGCTTCCACTCAGGTTAAAAAAAGCTGTCGCAGATGCCACACTTCTTATATATCAGGGTCCAACGGCACCGTTAAGTATCTCGGTTGATGCATCAGACACTGCAGTCGGCGTAGTTCTGCAACAACTAGTCAACAGAGAGTGGCGACCACTCGTCTTTTTCTCGAAGCGCCTACAATTAGCAGAAACGAAGTGCAGCACATTCGGCAGAGAACTTCTGGCTATGTACTGTGCTATACGTCATTTTCGACATTCAATAGAGTGTCGTGAATTCATAATTGTCACTGACCACAAACCTCTGACGTACTCTCTGAACTCAACTTCAGATAAGTATTCACCTAGAGAATCACGACAACTGGACTACGTTTCAGTTTATATCGGATATGCATAGGGAGTGCCTCGAAAACTGATACTGGGTGTAGTGCTGCCAAGCTAGTATATGGCGCAACACTGAGACTGCCAGGTGAGTTTGTTTCCTCTTCTAGCTTCCCATCAGTGGTAGATCACGCCTCACACGTCAGCAGGCTTACAAACACAATGCGTTCAGTTAAACCTGCTACCCTTCGACCACAGTCCATAGAGGTCTTTGTTCACCCGTGTTTGAAAACTTCTCCACATGTATTAGTTCGTCGTGACTCTATGCGTCGCCCTCTGGAACCCCCATGCTATGGACCACATAAAGTCATCAAACGTATGGACAAATTTTTCGCCCTAGACAAAAAGGGCCACGAAGACTCTGAAAGCATCGACCGTCTGAAAGCGGCTAACTTAGAAGGCAATCCCATCAGCCTAGAACTAAGCATTGCCAATGATACACAAGTAACCACATATCCATTAGTCCTCGAAGAAACCACTAGAACGGCGAAAGCCACCGAACCTTCTGTCGAGTCCTCAAAGAAAACGCGTTCTGGACGAAACGTGAGATTCCCAGAACATCTTCACGCTTGTATCACACAGCTTAGTGATGCGACTCCCCCAGTTTCTATTCGCTTGTGGTAGATTTTTTTAGCACATATATCTTTTATATTGCATCACGCAACACAAGTAAAAATAGCCTTTTTATAACCGTAAATGTTGCATCCACTAAATATATTTTTCGATGTTCTATTTTTCGCATTATTTATCTGTGTGGCAGATGCATAGAATCATTCAAAAGTTATTTTCGGTACATTTTCCTCAACATAGTTCTCAGTATTCTTGTTTTCTTTACCAGGTGCAATGGGCACTGAACAAGAAGCAAACGAAGCACAAGACCCAACAGACAAACATAAACGGAGCGATATACAGACGCCCAGTTAGCATAGGTAGACGACCAGTAGGCACTACATCAAGCCGATCGTAAGAGTTTTACCGATGGGAAAACCATTGGGTTTTTCATTCCTTCTGATTTTGTCTTAGGGTCCTCACAAACCCACCAAGAGGGGATTAAGCTGTAGGGGTAGGCAGTTCCCTAGAATTATTGACCACAGCGTTCATCACTGAACATTGGATGCTGATCCTCACTGTTTTAGTCAACTTGTTTAGCTGAAGGCTTCCAGTCAAGCTAATATATACGCAGGTGAATCATTAATATTCATTATTTATTTCACACACTAGCATAATCATTGATTTCACGCATCTGCGTGATTATTGATGTAAATTACTGAATTCCCAGGGTTTGTTAATATTTTTAAAATGTGACATTGATTTTTCTAATTGTATAAATACGGAGTTGTTGTTTAACATTTTCGACTGTTGTTTGAGACAGTAAAAGCTCTCATATCAACGTCCAGTCTTCTCTTTTATTTGTCTTGCGTGCCCGGCGGTATAATTGTTGTTGTTGTTGACGTGCGATTAAGACAGATTAGACAGCGCATTAGTTAGATTCGCTCGTAGCCTACAAGGTCCTCATATTCACATACATAACACAAGCATCCACGTCATTTGCACGCCGTCGTGTTTCGTCCGTTCGTTCATGCACGATCCCTAGCTAGTTAAGCAATCATCTCGCACTCCGACTTGGTCCCGAAATATAATTCGTAATCTGGTGTTTTGCTTCGCCTTTGGTCTACGCGGAATGAATGCTATAGAAGTTGTGGGTATTAGATCTTGTGTTAGTATACTTCATACTATCCGTGAACGTCAACACCCTTAGCTTCTAAAAGGTTATAAAACTCTTTTAAAATATCAAGTATGCAGCACTGTTGTTAGTGATGCATTTGGAGATTATGGACTAGTGAGATGACGAATTGACAAGCATTACTTTATATTTTTAATTGTACTACGAAATTATGTATATTTTGCAGTGAATCGTTTTAATCAAGGGTTATTTTCAATGTTTGCATTGTCAGCATTTAAGAAAAACTGTACCATCATACTGTTTCACTCTCAACAAACTAACTTAACAATGGCTAGTCTCAAACTAATATAAAATTTTATGCGGTATGCAAAGTCTCCATATATTCCGTCGCTATATCTCATTATGGAATTTCATCTGATGCTTTGCCACGGTTTCTTTGGAGAGATATTACAAGTCTACGTATTATTTCCCTTTCAGAATGTCTCCCTTAAAAGATAAATAATGCCACTTACAAAAATTTGCTACGTAAATTGTTTAGTATACATTGTTTTATATGCATTCAAGACCAAGTCATCTGTTAGTGCAAAGTTTGAATCAATGTCACTTGTGAGAATCATTTTAAAGAAATTTATTAATTATCCGTATTCCATAGTAGTGATTGTTCACATAAGTATTTGGGAATTGAACTTTAGGCGCTTCCAATTATCTACTACGCTACTGTGATGTCGTCGATGCAAACATTGAATGGTGGGGTTGGGAGACACACATTAGAAGATGTGACTGGTATTGTTGGTGAGTCATTTTTGTAAAAATTTATTAGCCGATATTTTGTATTTTTCATTGATGTGTCTTTCATCGTAAAAATGAAGTGGGAAAACTAAGAATCACCGAAATTAGGCAGTGTTGTTCCTTCTGTCTTTCAGATATTCTACTTAAACATAGGACTGCACCAAACAGTATTGCTATACGATGATTACACAGATTTTTTTCAAAACAATTCATACAACTGTATGACAGACATTTAAATGTCTGGTTAGGGATTGGAGCCTTTAATCCGTTGAGTGGTACCTCGTATAGATTCAGATTCAGAATCAGATGATAAGAATAGAAGGCTCTATTGGCTTGTGTTAATCCTTGCAAAATGTATCTCTGCAGAGTTCTAACTTCTCTTTGAAAGCGTTCACCGATGGAGCTGATACTACTGAATCAGGTAAGGAGTTCCAGTCGTTGACCACTCTGTGAGAGAATCTAAATTCTGCACGTATAATAGGTTAATCATTGCAGCGGGCATAAGTGTAGTCTTCCTTTGAACTGTTTTTACATTACCGGTTCCTGTTTAGATGAAAGTTGCATAAAAGTATTGAGTTTACGTAATTTCCATAGTTTAGTGAGTATTTCATTAGTGATTCTAACAAAGGCCCTGAGTTTTAACCCTGCAATCTGCATCTTCGTGTGCCGTAGTTTTCAGGTCATGACTTACGATGACACGTAGATCCGTGAGCGTCTGATTTCGCTGCAGTGGTGTCCGGTGTATTTCGTACACGTTGATACTTGCATGTCTGATGCTCATGGTGTAACATACTGTCCTATTCACCTAGGTGTCCTACTTTTTTCCACTTACTGTATCTTCTTTTAGTGAAAATTTTCCAATTTTTTTTACAGGGTTCAATCGTCCTATTTGTCTTAGTTTATTTTTAATGCGATGTACTCCGCATTTTGTCGCATTTTCCCTCATGTTAAGCAGAATATTCTCTGACTTAGTAAATACTACTTACACCTCCAAATTCCTTTTTGACTTCCAGTCGAATATTGTTTTATTTAAATGTTGATATAAAGGGGATCACAAAGTGATTTCAAAGTTTTGGCGTTTGCAGAATAAAAAAATTACCGTTCTGTGGATTTGGTCTGTCATGGTGATGTATTATTAGCTCTTACTGACTAATTGTCTTGTCAGTGTACTCCTAGTGTTCTCCGTTTGAATAGGTAACCCTACCTTGCATCCTACATCATACAGCTGTACATATATCAGAATCAGCCATTTCATTTCGATCAATTGTGTACTTTTCAGTTCTGGTGATTAACACAACTGCGCTCAAGATAATTCTACAACTTACCAAAAAGGCGGACCATTGGGCTCTGTGATACCACTTCTGCATATTTAAATTTCACAGGTTTCTCTCACATATACTTATAAAAGCAGCCTTACCGTACGTTTTTTAAATAACCTCAAGTAGATCATATTTGTTGACTTGAGTTCTAAAAACCTGTAAATAATCAAAGTTAAATTACAATTCACTTGATTCAAATATATTTCCTTGAGATCATTCACCCACATATATTAAAAGTTACCATTCTATTTATGTTTTTTCGTCCGGATCGAATTTCATTTATATGTTTGAAATCGATTCCACGTGAGTTCTTGGTGAAGTGATGGTTGTATTCACATGTATTAACTCTGAATTTGTGAACAGTTTAAGTAGTATTTTATGCCTACTTATAACAACTAAGTAGTACGACTAACAAAATGCTTTTTTCAGAAGTTTCATTTTAAGAATTTATGGTTAATTTCAAGCCACATTCTTAGCCTCCCACCCAACCTATACCTCCATACATGATTCTGAGGTGGTCAGTGACTTCTTAGACTGGTGTCGTGTTTTGGTCTGATCCATTTTAATTTTCCAGCTTCACCCCACTTAATTTAACTTTGCTCATCGAGATAGGCTGTTGCTCGGCATGGGTGACGTTGTTTCTTTTCGGACGACGAAGCTTCACAACCTTGTTGACTAACTTCATCTAATAGAACTACATCATCTATGTACTTTATGTTCACAAGATCTTTCTCCAGAGTTCGTTTAGCTTTTGTATGACTACAGACTCTAAAATCTCAGGTTTTAAGAATCTAAGGGAAAGTAAAGAAAGGAAGTATTGAATTTTAAAAAAGTGGAGGGAGAAAGTACGTTGCTCACCTGTCCAATATTCCAAAAGTTGAATGTGTTCATAACTAAGCGATATAGTTCTCCTTTCCATCAATATTCAAATCTTGTTGGTGTCATAAAGTGTCGTTTAGCGGTGAAAGAATTCCTTTGCTTATGTTCTCGGATTCTGTAAAGCTGTAAACCAACGACGACTAATAAATCAAGTGAATTAATAAAAAATCTCAGTCACTGCAATGCTGATTTCATACTGCAATTAACGGGTTCAAAATCCATGACTATTATCCTATTGATCAGATAACACGACTCAAAAAGTTTTGATGGGTAACCTATAAGCAAAGGTTATTGAGAGATATTTATATTAATTATATTTCACTGAGAGGATTTTTATAAAGAGCTGCCAAGTGCTCATAAAACGTTTATTGTGACGAGAAAAGGATCTTCCCCGCTATCTATAGTTGATGTGGAGTGCTTGTTAGTGTTACAACCTTCAGTATACTGATGTAGCTCTTATGGAAACTGCAACAACCTCTTACCTCTGTTGTCAATTAACATTTTGTTTATAAACCTCCTAAATGGTTGTACAGCTCTGAAGTGAAGTTACGAAAAGAGATCTCTGTGCTGACTTGTGTTCTTAATTACGTACTGCAGTCATTAGCGTTTGAGAATAAGGCGAAAGAGTAGACGCCAACAAACGCATGAGCAGATGCCGTGAGGATTCACCATAACATGAATGTGCAACGCTTATTCCATTGTTACGATATTTTTCGAAGGACAACTTGTGGCAATTTAAATAATCCAGTTGTTTGTAAATCGACTGCATGGTATTACGATTTTATTGTCACTCATGACTCCTAACCAGTTCAAAAACCCTTTAATCAAGTCCCTGCTTATTCTAATTATGAATAATTTGAAATGACTCGTGACTTATGCAGTCGTTCCTGATAAAGCTCCAGATCTTAAACTGTTGTTATCTTTCATGTTTAACTAAAGATGGCTCAGATTAAACATTGGATTTCATGCAATAACAGCATTCAGTGTATCCCTTGATTTCCTAAAACGACAGTCAGTTATGTGTCGTCGTCATCAGTATTCAAAGAGACATTTTTGATGAGATTCTGGAGAACACTCTAACCTTTGACGGAGAATGTGGTGGTTTGTTTGTTATGTTTCTGCAAAAATTCACTCTTTCCACTGAACTACTATTCCCCAAATTTTTTCATTTGGGTACCAATTGTAAGCATCAAAAAATTTGTAGGTAAGTTAAGACTTCAGTTCTGGCAAACATAATGAGTACTTACTTTACTTTTTACTTTACTTCGGCTATCTCCTACGGGAGGATGGGCCGGCTTCATGAACATCTCGAATCATCGCTGACCAGGCGCGGCGATCTGATGCACGGAGTTCATGAAGTTTCATGGGAATTTGGTACGAGTGATGTCCCCAGAATCGCTCGGCCTTTTGTTTGAGAGTGCAGCTCTAGCCTTTACACAACCAAGTGTGACCTACAAGGCAGTAGGAGTGGAGTAGGTAGTCCAATATCCATTGGCAGCCGGTGACCAGAGTTCGGTTCATACGCCTTTTTGAATGGGGCCAGACATCCAGGACATCCAACAAGCCCTTTGTCCATACGTCTGCCGGCGAGCTCCAGTGAGCTTCATACGCCAGTCGTTGGAGGTTTGGAATCAGGGTTTAGCCATCTCCCCTAGACTGTCATCCAATGGACAGTCAACCCGGTGAAGAGCGCCGGGCATCCGCTTTCGCCCTCTCACTTTGGTGAAAAACACCTCCGCCACGTGAAGGCAGTGAGTAGGACTTCCTCAGGAGAGGCTATGTAAGACGCCCGGTCATATGGGAGCATTTCAAGAGGTGTGCGGAGGGGTGGCCAACCCGCAGCGCAAGGCACCCACCCCCGACCGTCCTGAGGCTTTGGAGGCAAACATAATAAGTAAGCAGAATTTGTAACGAAGTATTTACTGAGCACTAAATTTTTCTAGTGGTTAAATCTCTGGAGAATTGTGTAAGTCCTGAATGGTTTGCATTTTAAGTAAAGTAGTTAAAAAGTGAAAACTGTTTTGTACATCTAATATGTGCAGTATTAATATCTTAATGAACTGTGATAATAAGGTGGATATAACATGCTGGTAAACAAGTTATGTTACAGTAATCAGATTCACCACCAATCATATCATCACGTTGAACAGAAGTTATAAGAAATGGGTGAAAATAAGTGAAAGTGACAATTAAAGATGAAAGAGTGTAATACCCTCCTTCTAATCAACCTGAATTTCTCTATACATGTTAGATCAATAGTCGAATACTTCAAAGACTAGATTACTGTCATATCTGAGCACTCTTAAATATCTCAAAATCGAATTCTACTTCAGTTAATATCTCTCTTTAAGGAAGGCAATGTTTCATTATGCATAGTATGTCTTCCAGCCATCTCGTATCAATCACTTCAAGATATTGTTTTTATTGTGCATATTTTGAAGAATAAGTGGTTTAAAGTTTTTAAATTTTAAGTAATTTAATATCTCTACCCTTTATTAGGGTCGCCTACTTCAAGTTTTGTTAGTACTGAAGCATCTGAGTGTTCTTCGTCATCTAATCGTCCGAGAAAAAAATACGAATGTGTACCAGAAGTTATGAAAACAGCTCCAGATTATATTGATCAGAGAATACGAAATAGAAACGCGGTGAAACGATTTCGTGAAAAATCAAAAACGAAAGCAAAGCAACTTGAGGAAGAAAAAGCCAGTTTAACTGCATTAACGAAACTTTATGATAATGAATTGATTCGAATTAACCGTTCTAAGCAGGTAACTTCATTTTTCACTCTATTGTTCAGTTTTTATTCCTTAAAGTTATTTATTTTATGGCTGATTTAATTTTGAATATGAGGTATACTCGCTGACCACGCACATGGTCCGGGGTTCGATCGCCGGCCGACGTACTCCTTTACCTCACTAAGCCAGAAATAATGCTGGTAAAGAGGAAAGGTTAGGCATGAAGCCCCATACTGTAAAAATTAAACACTGCTACGGAAACTTCAAGGCTGTAGCTTGAAGCCCTATGTTCCACTGGGAACGTAAAGGAAATTAAAAAAAGGTATACTTATGGTCTTATTTGTGGATGTTGGTCTATTGCAAAGGATGTGCATATTTTATATATGAGAAGATGGAATATTGACTTGTGCTATGTAATCAATGGAGATCTTGCACAATACAGTGATTATACAGTTACAAACTGAAATGAAGAACTAGAAAGTGATATTTTTTTTAAGAAATCAGTTCAACCAGTCTTATTGCCCATATTCTCCGGTATAATAATTTCATGGTTATCAAATACTAAACGTTATTCATTCACTTTAGAAATTAGCTCTTATCTCTTGTATATTTTACACATATCACCTTTACTGGTTTAGTGCTAACTAGCATTGGAATCCAGGACACTCATTTAGTCCTATTTTGGACTTGTGAGCCACCATTAGCATGACTAGATTTGATTTATTGATCATTAAAAGTATTGGGACATGCGTTTAAAGAGGTCACATGCAAAAATAAGGCTAATAAGTGGTTTAGATATGTCAACAGGGAGTGAAGAGAATGTGAGTGAATAATTTCATACCACTTTTATTGTCTCCGCACTACTCATGTCTTATTTCATCTTTTTTGTCCGTGTTTTTGTTTAATTTATCAGATACTTTAATTACTATTGTCTAGTTTCCTATGATAGGGATTTTCTACTGTATATATTGTTTCCTTTAATTCCTAGAGAAACACAGGGCTTCAGCCGTGCGTCTCCATTGCGTTTGGTTCTCTGCTAGAGTCTTCACCTGGCTTCAAGCCTGCCCACTCGTTTTCATCTCCTCTTCACATGACCTCTTCCAAGTCACCCTTGGACGACCAACTCGCCACTTCCCTTTCGGGTTCCACTCGAGCAATGGCTTGTCTAGTGATGTCACTTGATGGATTGTTTCCTCAGAGTATGGCCGATCCATCTCCATTTCTTCCTGCCTTATTGTTTCACAATCAGTTCCTGGTTGGTTCGCTCCCAGAGATCTCTGTTGCTGATCTTTTCTGGCCATCTGATCTTAAGTATTGAGCGAAGACAACTGTTAATGAAGGTCTGTAGTTTGTTTGAGGTGCTCTTTATGACGCTCAGTGCAAGTCTCTGATCCGTATAGTAACACTGACTTCACATTGGAGTTGAAAATCCGGATGTTATTTTTGATGCTGAGTGCTGTTGACCTCCACACAGACTTGAGAGTAGTGAAAGCTTGTCTTGCTTTTCCGATTCTTGCTTTGATATCCTCGTCAGTTCCGTCTGCCTGTAGTTGAAACGATGCTTCCGATGTCGGTAGGTAAAAGAGGTTGTTTCTTTCAGGTTCCTCCCATTTATATTGATCGTTGTCTGTTGTTGTTGTCCTTGTCCAGAAATCTTCATTACCTCTGTTTTCTCTATGTTCACCTGAAGTCCTATCTGTGATGCTTCTTCTGCCAACTTGTTGCTTTTCGCTTGCATATCTTCCAGTTTGTGAGAAATCAGACATATATCATCGGCGAAGTCCAGATCCTCCAAGTTTTCTGTGTGAGTCCATTTTATGCCTGTTTCCTCATTGCCCGCTGTTTGTCGCATTATCCAATCTACTGCAATCAGGAAAATCATTGGCGATAGTAGGCAGCCTTGTCTTACTCCTGTCCCCACTTCGAAGGATTCTGTGAGTTTCCCGTTGTGGATTACTTGGCATGCAATTCTAATTCTATAAATTGCAAAACAAAAAAACTGATGCTACTAGTTCTCAGTTCAGAAGATCTAATATTTTCGTCGAAAGAATCCTGCGTATTGCAGCTTTTAACTGGAATAGTAGTGTAACAGCAGAAGACAAGAGAATTCGGTAATGGAATTATTTATTGGCAACTCGAAACACAGATGCAGACAAGATACACGTCCACAATATATATTAGAATAACAATTTGCACATATCTTCGGTATTGTGCTGCTTTGTCTTCTTTTCATGTTTTCCATGTTGTTTCACAAGCATTGTTTATTTCTTCTCTTCGCCATTAAATCCTTCTCTCCACCATTCATTAATACTGCAGCCGATATACACATTTATATTCGCATTCACATACTACTTACAAGTCTTGTCAGTAGTACGCGTCGGAGTAGTAGTAGCAGCAGTAGTTCATCGACCAAGTATTTCTCATAATGGTTAGAGTGCCAAACAACTATTCTGTTCTTTTCAGAATTTAATTGATGTCTAGAGAATGTAATTCAACAGTCATATACGATATCGTAAGATGTATAATATACTACAGCTGTTATAGCTAAAATTGCTTTTTCTCAATGCTTTGTAACTAGTTTGGGATTTGAACTCGTGCCAATATGTTTAAACTAATCAACTACAAGCAGGAAATCAATATCTGTGAAGTTGAATCCATTCTGAATTATTTTAAACGTGTTATGGTGTTACTGTAAGGTGGATAATTTCATTACTGCAGAGGTTTTACGTCGTCTTAACTTGTTTTCTTTGTCTGATCCTTGATTCCTCGCCATTACTAAGTATTTTTATGGCTTTCTGTTCGGCTTGTTAATTCTGTTGGAAAGTCAGGCGAGTGGTACTTCGTTTAGTTGTGTCTGATAAATCAATATCTCATTATGAAATTAGGGCCTGTAATCCTGCCCGAGTCACTGCCTTCCTCGTTGGGCAATGTTAGCTAGCTTAGGATTAGGTTGGAAAAGAGTTAGAAGTGATCAAACATTTTTTTATACCCTTACATCCCGAGTGGAGCATAGGGCTTCAAGCAAGAGCTTTGAAGTTTTAGTAGCAGTGGGTTTTTTGGTTTTAATGGGGTAGGGTTGCAAGCCTTACACCCAACCTTCCCTCTTTACCGGCCTTACTACCAGCTTAGCGAAGTTTAGGAGTACGTCGACCGGGGGTCGAACCCTGGAACACGTGTATGGTTGGCGAGCGTTCTGTTGCTGTACGACTGACGCACAATATTAAACCAGGGAGTACTGGACAGCTGTTTCATCCTATTTCAGAAATCATAGGGGTTAGGCGACCTCCGGGTTTCGAACCCTAGACCTTCCGATTACAAGACGAGTTCTTAGACAAAGCTTGGCGTTAATCCATCAAGTCTTTGACTGTCAGTATGAGCGATGTAGGGAGGTGTAGACTGCCTGGCTGGGGTCGTCGTGATGCTAAGATCCGGTGGTTTGAGACTGTCAGCGATACGACTCGAAGTCGTTCTCAATGATGCAGTTGCACTCACTCTTTGTAATCTCCCGAATACATTAAGTCCCAAATTTTTTTTCATTTTACTATTCTTCCTTTCGTACATTTCTACTCAATATGATTCTTTTGTACCTCTTTTTCTCTCTTCTCTTTGTGTGTGTCACACAAGGTGTGGCAATTTGAACTGCTGCTCTTCTCTGCAAAGTTCTACGTTGAAACTGAGTCAACCTGTTTGATTATGCAATGATCAGGTTAACTTTGTAACATCTAAGCCGAAATTACTCTTACTGACATTTCTGGAGTGCATAGATAACTTGTACTATTAAAAAATACTCAATGTGGAAAATTTTGCTATATTTTTTTTAGCATTTTTAGCATTGAATCTGATTGGGATATGTTGCATGCTTAAACATTTAACAGTTACTGAGTAACTGAATTGGAAATCTTCATTCTACGGTATAACTCATTTAAGGCTGTTTTTATTGTTCTGTTCATTGTAGGAACTCGAATTACTACTCTATCAACATGCAGCTCATAAAAATATTGTCAACCAACTTGATAAGATTTTACAGGCAGATGCTCAAGCACGACTTGCTTTTCAAACAAAAATTTCTAATTTCCAATCTTCCTGTAGTTCCACCTTGACGGATATAATCAGGGAACATTATTGAGAGAAGATCGGTGTCTGTTGTTATTTTATTGTTTTTGATTAATTTATTATTAAGTTGATGGATGTGATTAGGCTGAAAATAAGAATTTGTAAATGAGATTATTTCATATTTCCCATATATATATATATATATGTGTCTGTTTTCACTTCCTTACACTATAATATTGATAATATTGCTTACTTTTGACTATATAATGTAAATGTACTTTAGAAAAATATTGAATCCCACGGAGGGTTTCTACAAAGGTATACTGTTGTTTACTGATCCTGTCGATCACTGAACAGCTGAACTAACTACTTTATTTAATAGCGTAGATTTGTTTCCTTTTTGTTCTCCGCTGTTGTACATTTTTATTGATTTCCTTAGGAAGTAAAGGTCGTTTTGTGTGTCATGAGGTTAAAAGTAGTTTATCTGAGTTATTTTTCTTTTTATCTCTCGAGCCTACTACACTTTCTCTGAACGTGTGATTGGTTGTTTTTTTTCTATGGAAGAAAAAACCATTCGTTCAATTGTAAATAAATACTTTTCAAGATTTGTTTGACTTTTCTGTTTAGCAAATAAATAAATGTGGTGACGTCACTCATCGACATGTGTAGCGTTGTACTATAACTAATGCAGATTTATCATCTTTACTCATTCAGAGGTAGATGGTTTAGTACAGGGAGGGAAGAGTTGTAGATAAGTACTACAGAAGAGTAATGGACTAAAAACAAAAGTGCTGCTCTAAAACAAACAAACTGCTCTGTGGCTTTTCAGCAGCTTTCTAACTGCTGTCATTTCGTGATGAAATGTTTCTTGAAACATTAATCTACTGGCTTCTCTTATCGTTTCATATTTTATCAATAGCACCTGTGTTATTTATGTCGTAATTGTTCATCAAATGAGCTGGTTTTAGTTGGTCCTTAGTAACCGCGTCCAATTTACTAGCCGGTTTTCCTAAGCCGGAGCAAAGAGGGAAGGGGATTGGGCGTGGGGCTAACAACCCTACCCTGGAAAACCTACCTAATCTCCAGAGAAACTTTAAAGTACAGCAAAAATATGAACAATAAACTTATTCTTCGGTGGAATCGGAGAGGCGAAATGACACGGCGGGCTGGTGAAAGCCAGCCTTCGGGAAATCAGTCAGCCAGCCGATGTCTTCTTTCGATGAAAGCATTAATAAGAAAGGGGACGTGGAATGTCCGTACAATGTACGAAGCTGGAAAGGCTGCCCAGGTAGCCAAAGGAATGAGAAGATATGGTGCGGAAGTGATGGGTATCTGTGAGAGCGGATGGAATGGCTGTGGACCGTCAACATTTTCAACCGGTGAGTTAGTTATCTACTCCGGTCACCCAGATGACAAACAGCACACTGAGGCAATGAGTGGCTATCACGATGTCACCAGTGGCAGCCAAAGCCTAATGCAGTGGAAACCTATTTCATCCAGGATTATGACAGCAAAATTCATCTCAAAAGGACGGCAGGAAGGTCAAAATTATCCAATGCTACAAACAACGTGGAACAAGAATAGAAGGAATATTTCCATAGATAACTGGAGAGAAAAATGGAGAACATCCCGAATGGCGACATCAAAGTCCTCATGAACGATATTAATGCCAGCTGAACTTGGAGCAGATAATGCAGGGAGAGAACTCATCATAGGACAAGAGGCTGTCGTTCGGAGAAATGAATACGAACTCTTCGCAGACTTCTGCGCCTTCAATGTTTTAGTTATCGGAGGCAGCATGTACAAGCACAAGGATATACACAAAGCAACATGGATTTCGCCTGACAGACACCACAAACCACACAGACTTCATCTCAGTGCTGCTCAAGGAAGTGGAGACGCAGCTAGCCTGCTGGATACAAAGTCGAGAAGGGGAGCAAATGTGGGCTCACTCACACCATCATCTAGTTCAAGGAACCTTTAA